TCTAGTCAAATTTGTGCTTAATGTATGCTCAGGTCTCACACATGTGTGCGGGTGTGTACCCAGTGTGTTCTAGATGCTCTCCAAATACCAGCCTGTGAGCCTCTGCTTTCAGAAGCTCCTGATTGAGGGTACAAGAATAGGTAGAGACTGTAATGCTGTGGTGCAGGTTGTACCAAAAAAAAGTCTATGGGCATAGACATCAGCTGAAAAATTGCTTATTGAAAGACTGTAAGTTCCTCGGGGCAGTACCTGCTGTCGCCGTGTCATGCTGTGCCTGCATGGATGTGGAAAACAACCATGTGTTCAGGATGTTCTTCACTTTGTCTGTGATCTCGTATTAGCACTTAGTGCCTTTTTTTTTTGTGTATGCATGTGGATGTACTGAAACAGACACCTCAGCTGAAATGTGTTTCAGTGTACACGTGTATATTTATACACACGTATGCACACCTACTCCCTCTACCCCAAAATGCAGTATTTTAATGCCTAAGCATTAACTGAAAGCTAATGGAGTAAATACTTCAGAAACAGTGTTTAAGCATGAAAAGGTTTTTTGATTATATAGTATTAATCATTTTCTTTTTCTAAGTCATTCTCCACTGGAAATTGTGAAAAACTTTAGAAAAGTCTGAACTGCAAAAGCAAATAAATGCCCAGTATTTGCTGTGCTGATGCTGCTATTGCTTGGGGTGGTTTTACAGAAGGCTCTGTTACAATTCCATTATTAAAGAAAGCTAGTTATTAGGAGTTGGTGACTATGCTTTGATGTATTTCCAGTAACGCCTGTTTCTCTGCTTATTACAGGTATGCTTACTGCCAAATTTACTGATACTTGGTTAGGGTTTCATATGTGTATGTACCTTAAACTGGCCAACTAGCATATTACAAAGTTTGCATATTTTCCCAACAACACATAATGAGACAACCTTTTTTTCAGTGTCGGAAGTATAATTAATTATTCATATTTTCTGAGCAAGCAGCTCAGTAATGAGGGAAGGGTAGGAATCAACCTGGAGTGTTAAATCGTGCAAATTCAGTCTCTTAGTGATGTAGCTGCCAGGACATTTGCCAGCTGGGAAATACAGACGGTCAGATTGGAAGTTGGAGCTTTCTTTCTCTTTTACTTTTGTGTCTTTGTTTAAAAGTTTGGCAGTTTAATTAGCTGAGCAACTGAAAAGATATTAGTTCTATCTAGCTAATATTAGAACAAGAAAAAAATGTTATCTATACTTGCTGGAACAGAAATTGAGATAATTCACTTTAAATGAATTACTAAAGGTAGTAGTAAACCCTGTAGGGGCTTCCTTTTGTTTTGGCATCTGTGGTTTATGATCACTTTATTGGGACTGCAAACAGAGGCTTGATTGTATAATGGAATGTTTATATATTACAAATATTGCAGACCATTCATAGAATTAATCTGAAAAACTGTGGTTTTGGTCCATTCCTGTCGCTCTGTAGCTGTATAGAATTGCTGCTTTATCTGTCAGATCTGTTCTCAACGGAATGATTTTCCCAGTCTTGGAATTTATGTACAGTAAAAAATACTAAATGATAATTTTAAATATATATTATCTGATCAGTCTGTTCATTGACATTTAAGGGGATAAAGATGAAGAGGATTTGGATTTGAGTATTTAAATCTTGTTGCAGAGTCAGAATTTAAAATATAAATTACTATAATCTTAGGCTGGTCTGGAGGGGGAGCTAGTGTCAAAGCAAAATGTGACAATTCTTTTCTAGACTCATTCAAAAGCTTGCTGTTTGGTCATAAAATATGCTTCTAATACAATAAGGAAAACAAATGCAGATGATGCGTGCTATGTATGATTGCATTAATATGTATCTCTTTTGCATGATGAATATAATCTGCAAATGAAGTGATGTTTGTGTGTTTTAGGGAAATTGGGCATATGTTTTGCTATTATGCAACAAAAACTATCTTTAAAGAACTCTGAAGTTGCAAGATCAAGTTCTCATAAATCATGAAATGCCAGAATTAAGGATTCTTGAAAGAACTGTAATTTGACCTATAAATATGTGATTAAATGTTACACTTTTCCCTACAATGTTTCTTTCAGTATATAGCATAGAATGGCATAGACTGTGTTCAGTGAGCAATATTGAATCTCTTTTCAATATTTCAATACAGTATGCTGTTCATACTGTACCTTCTTAATTTCCTCTTTTGCTGTTTCATTACCTTTAGTCTCTCGTGCCTTCATGTTTCACTAGTAATATTTTCACAAAAATCTCTGGAGGTGTTATGTGTCCCTTTGTGTTGAATATCCAATTTAGGGCCTTTATGATATGATTTTTTTCAAACTAATCTATCAGTGTTTTAATGATTTCTATGTTCTAAAATGTTTTCTCATGAAGGTCTGTTTCCCTGTGTAATTTACTAACGATACCTGGATTTTCTTCATTATTTTTTATAGATCCCTTAACAGGGATCCATGAATGCATATGCTAGAAAAGACCTCGCTGCTTGATTTGTAGTATGGTGTCTGTTGATTTAGACTGCAAGTATAAATACTTAGATCTGCTGCAGTGTTAACCCCGAGATACTAAGTCCAAAATTTTGATGAAAAGTGGATTTCCCAATGATAGGTTGGTGTTTTGTTTTTTTTTTTTTTTTTTAAAAAGATGATTTGGTTGCAAGGAACAAGAAGAAATCAAGTTATCTGGAACAATATTAATTCCCTCTCTTTTCATGCAATACCTATCTTATTAGCAGCACACTTGCCAAGATTTGCAGTGCATATGGCAAGGTCCTTATATAATATAGTGTCATTATTTAAATTTTTTCAACATCTTGTTCACTAATACAGCAAGAGTACCTTATGCACAAGGGCACAGAGAGCAAGAACAAGTAATCTTTAATTTTTGTTTTTAAACAAGGGCTTGTTTTTTCATACTCGTCTGTTTAAAAAAATAAATTCTTTGCATGTAAACAAAATGTTCAACATGCTAGATTTAAAAAAAGCAGTAACCCTGATGGACAGGAGGAAACCTTCTGTCATGTGGGATTGTGTTACAGCATATAAGTCTTTAGAAAGGCTGAAATTAGTGTATTTTGCCATGAGATTTCTGTCACTTGAACTAGCAGAGAATGGATGCTAGTCATTTGTGGTCCAGACAATATGGTTGGTGAATGGTTTTCTGAGATTCTTAAAGTGTTTCAAAGTAGTGATGAAACTCTGGAATCTTGGGTTCTATTCCAGGCTCTGGAAACAAGCATGTTCTGGTGGATGCTGATTTTTCTTTTTATTTGTTCTGTAATATCTACTTAAATATCTTCCTGTCCCAATCTTTTTTGCCCTGTTCTGAAATTTTTATTGCAGTCCTATTTCCCCCATCCAAACAGTTTGTTTCTTGTTAAAGGGCTTCTTCTCTGAGACGCAGAACCGCTGTGCTCTGGGAGGTTCTACCTCATAAGTTGCTTATTCCAGTATTTTTTCACTGTTTGAATCCTGTCCAGCTATTTGTACTCCCGTCTGCTGCTTGGCTTCTGTCCACTATCTTCAGCTTCACATCCAGCTCTTTGTCATGGCTAGGATCTGTCCTCTCTATGTTTTGCATTTCCACTAGCTCCTGTCCTAGCTTCTGAAGTTTTCCAGCTTCTGTGTTGTACTTCATCCTGGTCTTCCTGCCTAGCCAGTCTCCCAGCTGAATTTGTTTTTGCCTTTCCCACCAGTCTTCTCACCCATCTCAGACTTGGTCTGTATACCAAGTTTAAGATTCTGTTCACCGTATAAACTGTATCAGCTTTTCCCCATGTTGCAGTTGTTTCTTCAGTCAAGTCCTATTGGTCCCTTTCTTTTCCACCCTTTTCTTCACCTGGGTAGCTTACATTTTCATGCTTGCTGGGTCCAGCAGGATATTGCCAAGAAGCAATTCAGGTGCCAGTGATTCATCATGATACTCAGGGAAACAAGCCGGCCTATCAAGAGATGAGCTTGGCTTAATAGTGAACTCTTGTCTGAGCTCCACTGTAAAAATGAGCTATCCAGGCAGTGGTGTGTAGGGATGACATCAAGAAAGCCAATGCTCGCCTAGAGATGACACTTGCAAGTGAGGTCAAGGGCAGCAAGAAGAGTTTCCCTTAGTACTTTAGTAGTAAAAAGCTGTACAAGTGAAATACGGGTTTCTTTCTGAATGTGAAGTGTCATTTAGTGATTGTGGACATGGATAAGGCTGAGGTATGCAATGCCCTCCCCTCTTTTCCTTAGTCATCCTTCACCAAGAAGGTGTCCCAGGCCTTTGTGCCTAGTGGCAGGGTTTAAGGAGAGCAGCTACCAGCAGTAGATGAGGATTGAGTCGGGGATTATTGAGGGAGCTTGAACCGTATGAGTCCATGTGGCCAAATGGACTGTGACTGAGGATGTTGATAGAGCTGGCCAGAGTCACAGTGAGGTCCCTCATCATCATCTTGGATACCAGGAGAGCTTCCTGATGATTGGAGAAAGGCATATGTTCCACCCTTCCAAAAAGGCCAAAACACAGTCCAAGGAGCTGCAAAGCTGGCTAGCTTCCTTTTTGTCCCTGGGAAAATAAGGGCATGGGTGTTCTTGGAACGCATTTCTGGGCACAAGAAAAAGGAAGTGATTAGGAACAATCAGCATGGATTTATCAAAGGTAAATCATGCATGATTATCCTGATTGCCTTCTATGGTAAAATGCCTGAATTTCTGGATGAGGGAAGAACAGTGGATTTCATTTACATTGCCTTTAGCAAGGCTTTCAACTCTGTCTCCAACAATGTTGTATCCAGATATGGACATTACAGGCTGAGTGGATGGAGAACTAGATGAGTAAAAGACTGGTTGGATGGATGGACTCAGGAAATAGTGGTTTAATGTGTTCTAGAGGGAGCTTGGTAACAAGTGGGCTACTGCAGGGGTTCATCTTGAGAAGATGATAGAGTGTGCTCTTGTGCTTGTGGGTGACATCAAATTGGGGGGAAGGGTTGATATGCATAAAGATGGGGCTGCCATTCAGAGGGACTTTGGACCTTGTGTTCACAGTGCCACCTGGAGCCTGAAGAAATTCAGTGACAAATGCAAAGCCCTGCACCAGGGAAGGAAGAGCACCTTGCAGTAATACAGGCTGGGATTTGACTGGCTGGGAAGCAGCTCTGCTGGAGAAGCCAGAGGTTGTGGTGAACAGCACTTGGACCATCGGCGAGCAGCAGCATGCCCCTGCAGAAAAGGGCAACAACTTGGGGGCATCAGTGGAAGGAAAACTGCCTGTGAGCCAGCAATGTGCGCTCACAGCCCAGAAATCCACCCGTGCCCTGGGCTGCAGCCAGAGCAGGGGGGGCAGCAGGGCCAGGGAGGGGATTCTCCCCCTCTGCTCCGCTCTGGGGAGACCCCCCTGCAGTGCTGGGGCCAGCTCGGGGGCCCCCAACAGCAGAAGGACACGGAGCTGCTCGAGCGGGGCCAGAGGAGGCCACGAAGATGCTGGGGGGGCTGGAGCAGCTCCCCTGGGGGGCCGGGCTGAGAGAGTTGGGGGGGTTCAGCCTGGAGAAGAGAAGGCTCCGGGGAGCCCTTCGAGCGGCCTCCCAGGGCTTAAAGGGGGGGCAGGAAAGGTGGGGAGGGACTCTGGGTCAGGGGTAATGGTTTTAAACTGAAAGAGGGGAGATTTAGATGAGATGTAAGGAATAAATTCTTCCCTGTGGGGGGGGTGAGGCTCTGGCCCAGGGTGCCCAGAGCAGCTGTGGGTGCCCCCTCCCTGGAAGGGTTCAAGGCCAGGTTGGACGGGGCTGGGAGCACCCTGGGCTGGGGGAAGGGGGCCCTGCCCGGGGCAGGGGGGTGGGACTGGGTGATCTTTAAAGTCCCTTCCAACCCGAACCACTCTATGAATCTGTGATGATTCTCTGAACATTCTGGGTCCTCTTAAGAGGAACATAGCCAGTAAGATGGAGGGAATTGATTATTCCTCTCTACTTGGTGCTGATTAGACTGCATCTAGAGTACTACACCTGGTTTTGGGACCCTCAATACAGGAGAGACATCACCAAGATGGCTAGGGAACTGGGACTCTTGCCCTACAAGGAAAGGCTGAGAGAGCTAAGTTTGTTCAGCTGAGGAAGAGGTGGCTTCAACAGACTGCTGGTGTCTTTGGGGAGATCACTGGGAAGATGGAGTCAAGCTGTTTCCTGAGGTGCATAGTAGGAGGACATGAGGCAGTGGTCATAAATCGAAACAAAGAAGGTTCATACTGGATAGAAGGAAAAACTTTCTGTCCATGAGTGTGGTCAAGCTGTGTGAGAGGTTGCCCAAAGAAGCTGTGTAGCCTCTGTCTTAGAGGTTTCTAAGACCGAATTGGATAAAGCTGAGCAACCTGGTCTGATCTTGTCGAGCAGGAGGTTGGACTAGGGCCATCTGGAGGACCCTTCCAACCTGTATTACCCTATGAGTCTACAGCTGTGAATGCTTAGCTTCCAGAAGGCTTATACTGGAATGTAGGCAGTGCAGACGGAACGTGTAGCTGACTCAGCTAGAACATATCAAAGCAAAATCAATAACACTGATGTTACAGTGAGCTTGACAGGAGCATCATTTGTGTGTCAGGATATGCATTTTGCTGTCTCGTAGGAAGATGCATGTGGAGCTTAAAGCATGCAAAGGATTAAACTTTTTAAAGAGAAGAAAGCCTTTTGTAATAGGGCAAAAGTGTATTTTCCTGTAGGTTTCCTTGAGAAGGGGAAAAAATATGTTTAACATACGGTGAAAACATTGAAGTAGCTCAGCTTTGACATGGACACTTGGCACAGAATGGGTCATCCTGGAAAGCCTTTGGCAACTTAAAAGAAACTGAAAAATTAATCTTCTACAAGGAAGTATCAGGCAGCCTTAAAAATAGGTGATCTTTCTGGGTCATTTGTCATGGTATGTATATAAATTCATACTATATAGCTCATAATACATCATTTCAGGGTGGTGATTTTCTGATTCTGTTAAATCAGTTGCAATCCTGATTTTTTTTTGTTTTTTCCCCTTAAATACATGATGTACTAGATCCCTCACATGATTATTGTTTCTTCCTGTTCTCTTGTCTCCGTCCCTCCCCTTCCACATTTTCAGAATGAGGATGGGGAGCAAATAAAGGAGGAGAAGCAGCTCTAAGATACGAGGAACCCAGTAGCTATTTTAGAAGACTTTTGGCTACAAGTCTTCAAATCAGAAGAGTTGTCTGTAGCAAAGAAAGAGCTACTGTTAAATGACAGGCTGGGGATTGTTTTTAATTGTCTTTAAATTTATTTTTAATTTTTGTTATTAAAGCATGAGATGCTTCGTGAGGAAATCTCTGAATGACCTTTTTTTGAGGTTTTTGTCCCTTTCTTTGTATTTGCTAATCTGTAGCCTTTAGGAATCCTCCCTAAGGCAAGTGGTGATTTCTGTAGCAAAGTGTAGTTTCCAGTGAATCAACCGTTTTACTTGGTTCCTTCAAATATTAGATATTAATAAAGTATAAATTACATAATTTATTTTCAGGTATAAAATAAAATGAAATTTTATTTATTATCAAAATAAAATTAAACACTTCAGGTATTGGTCATTCTAGAATTTGGTGAAGTTTGTGCTGCTACAGTTGCTTTATGGTAGCAATAGTAATTCCTAATGTAAATGCTTTTTTACGAGTCTGCTCTCATTATATGTTTGCTTCATAACCTTATAGCGATAAGCTGAATAATTTTTTGTAATATTAGAGAGTTTCTCTTGTAAGACAGTTAATAGTAATGAATATTGCCGTGACATCATTGGTTCTGCAAGGTAAAGACTGTTTTCAGAAGCTTGTGGAACATTGCTGTGAACATCTTACGGAAGTTAATTCTGACTTGCTGTGTGTTAAACTTCTTATTCAAAGCGTTGCTCTCCCAAAGGGTTTTGTAAAATAACAGTAAGAATTCTGTTCCAACAACCTCCCAGTCTTCACCTTTAGGTTTTTAGATTACTTATGTTAATTTGATTAGAACTTGCACAGTGTCATAATAACTTTTTATGGCAAGTATTTGTATGGGTACAAATACATTTGTCAAGTGTTCTGGAGGGTTTTTTAAATTTTTTTGGAGATGTTTATGTACATGTATGTAATAAATATTAGAACAAGTATCTGGCATGCTGTTTATTGAACAGTTCATAAAACTTCTTTTAAAAAATGAATTATTTAAATTATTAATGTATTCAATTACATAAATTTATTCTTTAAACTCTTTGCCTATAAGGAGATTTCTGTTGACCAAGTGACCTGTTTCAAAATGTGAGCTTTCAGATTGCCTGGGATCTCTGTCATTGGCTCCTTGCCTCTATCTATGATGATAAAATATGTAATATACCTGAAACATGTATACAGGTTTCTGATATGCTGTACTTAGCTGACATCTTGTTTCTTTTTGGGTGTTTGCTAAGCAGCTTTCTCTGTTTGGCAGTCAGCATGGATATTCACACATTAGATGATTGTATACTCGAGACTGAACAGTTTTTGCTGTTGCAATGTATGTAGTGTGTTGATGGTCCCTTTTTTTCTCTCTTGCTTTTTTCCCACCCTGAGTTATATAAGACCATTCATGGCAGGGCACATTGTCTTTAGTTTCTCTCAACTGCCTGGGCAAACATTTGTTACTTATTTCACGCAAGGTTTGAATTCACAGAAGAAAAATATATAAAAAAAATAAATTGCTTCCTCTACTTATGGTTTTGTTTCACTGAAACACCTTTGTGGTATTGTGCCATGCCTTGGTGTGCTTAGATAGTCTCTGCACCTCCTTTTTTCTGTTGACTGGGTTTTGTAGCAGTTAAAATGTTTGGAGATGCTTGCTCACGGTTTCCAATCTTCTGGATGCATGTCTTCACATTTCTGTTCATATCAATAAGTGTTTCACAGTTCTGTTGGGATTTTTTTTTTTTTTTTAACAGTACACCATCTTACTTTTTGATCTGTCTGTAACTTGGGACATTTTCAAGTTATAGCAGTTAGGACAGTAAGAATTACACCTTTTCCCTAATGTGTCCCACTGTTCAGGACACAGTGGCATTGACTAATGTTCTCCTGGAGTTGTTCATGGCACATGCCTGCTCAGCACTCTGGATTTTTGGGTTGAACTGCTAGACATTTTCTCTGCAACTTTTGTTGTCTTTTAACTTCAGTGAGCTGGTGCTAGGCTAGGTATCAATACACTAAAGTTTGCCCTACCAGACTGTGAAGATGGATGCAATTTGGGTGATACGACAGCTTACATTGCACCCTCTGACAACATCTTCAAACTCTGCAGATGTGAATGTGCTTTGTGTACTTCCTAGGGGAGCAGGGGGTGCTGTCCCTTAGCAGGTTGTTGATGTTTTTTTCTGACATAGTTCTTTTCTGTCAGAAACAACAGGACCCTTGAAATGCATGTGAGAAAGCCCTTTTATTCCTTTTCTCTATTTGATTACAGTGGATAGTGCTCTTACAGGATGAGGGATTCAGCATAACCTCAAGCAAAGAAATGTTGGTCTCTTGAGGAGCTGGACATACATATAAGATACAGAGAGTTCAGCATAATCTAAAATTCTTGTTTGATTTTTTCCTGTACAATGTATTGCAGTGTTATGCATAGGTAATAATAGATAATAAATCTGCAGATTCTCTGTGTACAGAAGTGCTGAGAGAACATTGTTTCTATTCAGTTGATAGCTTTTCAGATCTCTCTATGTGTGTGCACAAAATCACTTGCTTGTGGTTTATCCTCAGGCATGCTGAACACACGTCTCTGGTGTACCCTGATATGCTTCAAGTTATTGGGCGAAGAATAGGAAATATCTTGGGTACTGAAATCTGACAGTAAGGTCATAAAACCAGGTCTTGAGATGTAGCAGGATATGCTGGTATCTTTCAGCCAGAGATGTTTTGATCCTAGACTCGTCACAGAATGAGTTTGAGATACTGTTTTACAGAAGATCGATTTTTTTTTTTTTTTTATTTTTATTATTTTTTTTTGCTTACTTCCAAGCCCACAGTTTCCTCAAGTCCTACAGGAGATAAGATCCTGCTCTCCCTGCTTTGCAGAGACAGTTACAATTTTGTGACCAACTATATTTTTAGTTAGGACTTCCAGGACTCTTCCTTTAATAGCACATTTTCTTACGTAGCTTGTGAGTACATCAATACCAG